GAGTAAATATGATTCCTTGTATTTACATTCAAACAACTGCTTTCAGTAAAGGATACATGGGGAAGGACAGGTTTAGCAAGACCTCTAAAGATAAAAGCCGTGGGAGCTGTTGTCAATCACCCACAAGCATGTTTCTCTGGCTTTTTAAAAAATGCAAAGGGGCCCTGGCTGGTTGGTCAGTGGTTAGAGCATCAGCCCTCGGACCTAGTGTCCCAGGTTTGATTCTGGACAGGGGCAATGTGCCTTGGTTGCAGTTGCAGGACTGATCCCTGACCCCGGTCAGGATGCAGGAGGCAGCCAATCGATGTGTCTCTCTTACATTGGTGTTTCTCTCTCTCTCCCCCTTCTGCTCTCTCTGAAAAGCAATGGAAAAAATATTCTCGAGTGAGGATTAAAAAATAAACAATCTCTTTTTAAAAAAATTGCAAAGGGTACCTTAAATTGCATTCCTCAAAATATACAGTCTGTATCCACCCATGTTGTAATAGCCAGATATGTTCCAAAAAGGAACATTGGTAAATGAAAAGAGGTCCATAGAAGAGTGATTAGAACCAAATTATATAAAGAACCTAAAATATTTAGTCTGTAGAAGCAAAGATTCACAGGGGAACTCAAATGAGAAGTATGTTTTTTTCCCAAATGTTTAAAGTGGGGGCCACATATTTAAATACCCGTAAGACCACAAAGAAATCGTAAATTAATTGATGTGGACTCGGCATAGTGCGTACGTGTTTATCACTTTCAAAAGCCACAACTCGGCTCCAATTGTTTGCCATTCAAAATGCCAGCCCAGCATCAACAGAACTTCACATTTTTAAAAGAAAATACAGATTTAAAATCTTTACTTAAGTTTTAGTTTTAAAATTAAACCTAAGTGTTCTGGAACCAATTCCCATGTGCGGACGTAGTTTCCCCACACCGGCAACAAGCGATTCTCTGACACCAGCTGGGTGTCCTACATTTCAACTCAATTCCGACAGTTTCCCAAAGATACCATCAGATCCTACAGCTTAGGTGCTCAGTCCTACAGGACTGCCCTGTGCTTCAGATGCCAATCACTGACCCACCAGCTACAGACTGGAGGTTCCCAGGACTCGTTCCTGGAACTTCAGGTGCCAGTTGCAAAACCGGGTCATTACCCAAACTTCTGAACGACTATAAACCAGATTTCCACCCCCCACTCCCCACCCCGGGTTCGATTAATTTGCTAGCGTGGCTCAGGAAACCCATTTACTCATTAGGTCACCCGTTTATTACAGAGGATATTAAAGGATACGAACCAACATCCAGATGAACAGACGTGTCTTCCCAGAGTTTGGGTCCGGGGTGGCACAAATGCCTTCTTTTTGGGGGGGTTTTATGGAGGCTTAATTACACAGGCATCTCCGAGTAACTCGTTGGCTATTGGTGATTGGCTCAACCTGTAGCCCATTTCCCTCCAGGAAAACCGGGTGGGACTGAAAGTTCCAACCCTCTAGCCTTGGTTGGTTCGCCAGCAAACCCCCTCCTCAGGCACTTTCCAAGTCATTGATTAACACAAACCCGGCAGTGGCGGATGGGGCTTGATCTGAATGACAAGACGCCCATTTCACCTTATGGCTCTGGAGCTGCTTTTCAGGACTGAGGATAAGAGGCCAAATATTGTAACAAAAGATGTTTCCATTGCTCTTATTACGCCGGAAATTCACCAGGGTTTGGGCACTGTGAGCCGGGAACTGGGTGAAGACCAAATATGTGAGAAATATACTTTGGTTATCTGAATGACCAAATGTATACTTATTATAAATCGCAACATTGCAAACCTTTAATCAATCATCACTACGTACAATATTTGAAAAACAGTCACTGTGCTTCGTTGAGTATAGAGGTTCACTTGCTTTAGAAGGTGATTTATAAGTGGAATATTTTTACATTAAAAATGAGTACAATAGGTAACATGTTTAATGTCTTTGTGAAATATAAAGAATACGCAAAAATATACACAACAACATAAAATATTATAAAGTAAATGCCGTTATACAGCAAACATTACCTTCTCCCCAGAAGCCCTCTCAGGCTGCATCCGTACCATCACCCCTCCCCTCCCTGCTGGAGAAAAGCCCTCACCTGGCTGCTGTTGGTCCGCAGTGTCCCACAGCCTGGGTGAAGGTTATCGAAGCTGCGTGGAACTTTCTACATTAAGTCTTTTCTTTCAGCATCTAAAGATATCATGCTGTTTCCCCGCCTGCCACTGTCTCTATTGTGAAGTTGGCCTTATTGTTGTTGCTTTGAAGTGATTTTCTTCCCGTTTACCCTGAACAGCATTCCTAGGGCTTCTTGAATCTCTGGCGTGGTGTCTTATTGGAAAATCCTCAGCCATTAGCTTTTCAAATATTACTTCTGTCCAATTCTTTCTCTTCTCCTGCTCTGGGTTTCAAGTATACAATGTTAAATATTAATATTATATCCCCTACGTCTCTTATGCTCTTTTTTCTTGTTTTTCTTTTTTTATGTATTTTCCGTCCTTTTATCTCCCCGTGTTTAATTCTAGGCAGTTTCTTCACAACATTTCAGCTGTGTCCAGTCTGCTATAAAACCTACCCACTACGTTCTTAAATTTATTGTTCAGTTTTAGAAGCTTCATTTGATTTTCTTTTATGGTTTTCAATTTTCTGATGACTTTCTCAATCTTAACATGTTAGGTTTCCTAGAAGCAGAACCTGGGCTTGGAATTCCTGTGCAACTGATATTGAGACAGGTCAACAAGCCAGGACAAGTGGAATAGAGAAACTGAGACCAACAGCTGAACAAACTGACGGAGCAACTTACAGCAGATACAGAAGGTCACCTCCACAGAGATAACATCTAGACCTCAGTTGTACTTCAGCTCCAGACCCAGGAAAGCAGCAAAACCAGGTGGGTAACACTAGGACTAGTGGCGATGACTGAGGACCTCCTGCCCTGACACTGACCAACCTGTGGAGACCATGGCCCTGGGGGAGCACAACTAGAAAACTGATTAATATTCTGCTGAAACCCTCCCCTAAGATCTCCTCTAGAGATAAAGCCTCAAGACAAAGGAACCAGCTTGTGCTCTCCCTCTGCGGAGCAGCCCCCTACCATTCCCTTTCCCATCTTCCCTCACAGGTAGACCCCCATGCTTGTAACCAGGGCAGCAACGGGCAGTGGCCCCTGGTCCCAGGCTAAACCCTGAACCTGATCCCAGGGCCCCCTTTTCTCTGACTTCCCAGAGAGCTAGGGGGCACCGGCCTAGACCCCCTTTTGCTTCTTCTATGCTAAGCCCTTTCTGGTTTTACTGTCCCCAGCTTGGACTTGTAAAACTTTTCCTGCGTGAAGTCAAGAACCCACACACTACCAGCTGGCCCTAGGCAGACCTGCCAAGGACCAGCTCCCATTTCTGGTAACAATATTATTAAGGAAAGCTCTTAGATGAAACTTTTAAGAGAAGCAGGATAGGGCAAGGGAAGAAGCTCAAGGTATTTATGTGGCCAAAGTCCTTACCCTGTCCCATAGGATGGAGTTCTGGAGCACCAATAGCATCACACAATTGTCCTCCTTGAGACAAGAAGGGTGTATGTGACTTAAATACTCCTGGATTAGTCTGTTACTGCCTTCCAGGGAGGAGGTGGGGTGAGGGGACAGTGGTGGTCATGCTGATCTCCTAGGGAATTCCAGGAGAGGTGACCCCATCAACTGAGGACAGTCCTCTAGAAATGGGTATGAGCAGTCAACACTTGTGGATGGGGGTTGAGGTAGAGTTGGAGTGAGCAAATCCACCTAGTAAACAGAATCATGGTAGAGCACTACCAACATATTAAGCATGTTTGTGGTAAAGTTTGCAGTTGATTAAATCTGTATCTGCTGAAGGTCTCTCTTGTCTATTGTTTATTTTTATTTCAATCAATATCTTGTCTCCTTGTATGCTAGTTATCGAGTGCCAACATTGTATATAAAAAAAACTCAAGAAATATTTGAGGCCTAGGATTTTCATCTTCCTCCAGAGAGGACTTGAGCAGGCTGCTGGGGCATTCACATTGGTAATCTTGAATCGCCATAAATCAATCAGGCTCCGAGGCGATTCAGAGCCTGGCTTCAGCGTCACTGGAGCCCATGTGTTTCACCCTTACTCTGAGAGTATAGCTTTTCGAGTCCCTTGGTAGGCCATATCTCCAATCTTTCAGCCCCTAGCTCTGTGAGTCTATCAAAAACTGTGTTAACTTTCTCAGCCCGCTGAGGTGTCTCTTCCAGATTTGGTTCACAACTCAGGAACAAAAGTGGGACATTCCAAGCTTACTTCTCCAGCTTTCCTCCTTCATTTAGACCTTGGCCCTGTAATTCTTCATTACCTAGTGTTATGAGCTTACCCTCCCCTCCCAATTCACATGTTGAAGTCCTAACCCCCAATACCTCAGAATGTGACTACCCTGGAAGGCAGGGCCTTTAAAGAGGTAATTAAGTTAAAATGAGGCCATTGTGAGGGCCCTAATCAAATCTGACAGGTGTCCTTTTAAGAAGAGGCAATTTGGTATGGGTGTTATATAATTTTTGCATCTCTGTGCATAAATGAGATTGACATATATTTTTCTTTCTTTATAGAGATATGCATTTGGTATCAAAATTATCCTAGCATTAAAGAAAATGTCATTAGAATTCACTGGTGAATTCATTTAGACCTAGAATGTTCTTCGGAGACATTTTTTAAAAGTATGAGTTAAATATCTTTATTAGTTATAGATTTAGATTTTCTATTACTGCATGCATCAGTTGTGGAAAGTTGAAGAGCTCCGAAGACAGTATTTTATACATGCTGCACATTAAAATCATTTGGGACCTTTAAATCCTCAGAGGTTCCAATTTAATCTGGGTATTAGTACTTCGCAAAAAAAATTTTTTTAATTAAAAAAATCTTTAATTCCTTGTGGTTTCTATTTTAATCATCTATGTATTATATATTTACTACATATTTTTATTATATATTATACATAAATGAATACAATTACTGGTATATAATCAAAATTTTAATGAATGAAAGACAAACACACTAAGATGTCTCACTTCTACTCTTTTCTCAGTCTCTCAGAAATCACCATTTTCATTAGTTTCACATTAATCTAGCTAGTGCTTTTTATTCAAATATAAGTGCATATGTGTATTTATACACATACTTTCTTCTTCCCCATGTCATACAAAAAGGGAACATATTTTATACATATTTTATGCTCTCTAAGAAATCACTCAAAATATACTGGTAGTAATCATTTATCGTGGTTTTTGTGAGAAAGGAATTTAGAAATGGCTTGGCTGAGCAGTTCTTGCTCAGGATGTCTTATGAGATCGCAATCAAATGCTAGCTGCAGTCATGTAAAGGTTTAAGGAAAATCTACCTCCAAGGTGGCTCATTACATGGTTGGCAAATTGATCTTGGCGATTTGTGGGAGGCCTCAGTTTCTCTCCATGTGGGCTTCTCCACAGGACTGCTTGGGTGTCATCATGGCGTGGTGACTGGCTTCCCCTAGAATGATCACTCAAAGAGACCAAGGTGAAAAGCTACAATGCCTCTAGACAAGCCTTAGAAGTCATACATCACCACCACCACATTCTACTGGTCACACACACCAGCCCCGATTCACAAGGTTGTGTATACCAGGTGAAGATCATTGAGGGTATTTTTGGAAGCTGGCTACCACGTTCTGTATGTAGGTTTTCCTTTTTTATTGTTGTTTTTTAACATGATTTATCCTGGAGATCGCTTCATATCACTACACAGAAAACGTCCTCATTCTTTATGGAGCTGTGTAATATTCTACTGCAGGGTATCCCATAGTTTATTCTACCATTCCTCTGTTGATAGATATGTGTTGTTACAGCAGCTTTTTTGTTTTGTTTTGCTTTGTTATTATAATAAGTACATCAGTGAATAACTTGACACTTATGTCCCTTCATTATGTGTTCAAATTTATCTGCAGAAGATATTCCTAAGAATTAGGGTTCAGGGGGTGAGATGAACATACAGCCCTGTCCCACAAGGCATCTGTGCATTTTCAGCGTCTCTCCACACAGATAAGGTAGGGCTGGGGCTGCAAGGTCATGCCTAACCTGGGCTTCAGGTTTGGAACCAGCTCATGTGGAAAATGCAAGTGAAACCGCTGAAGCAGTGCTGTGAAAAACAGGAACATTTCCATCCGAGCGAGCTGTTCTCCAAGACAGTGTCTTCTTCCTAAACAGAAAAAACATACATCATCATTTTTTAAAAATCCACAATACTCACCAAAATTTATGTCTAATACATGAAATTTTTAAAAAGTTAGAAGAGGATATTCTTATTAAAGAATTTTCTTAAACTCCGAAGAATAAATGTTGGCTTTTTATCTCCCAGAAGCCATTTCTTTACCTTCTTTTGTCAAATTGTAGACTTTCATAAGCTTATTAGTTCCCTACTTCACCGGCACATTGCAATAGAGCCTAAGATATGCCGTGAAAGATCTGACTTGAAGTGTGACATTTTGTTCTATAGATCCAAAAGAAGGTCATTTCATTTCAAATGACTCAATGTGTACCCTTCCCCAATTAAAGAAAGAGTTTCCAGTCCATCTTCCAGGGGTCTTGTGATCTGTGCACTTTTTCACTGCAGAAACAGTATTTTTGAAGATAAGGTATAATAAACTGGGAGCCAAGAGAGCTAGAGTCTAGTTTCACTTCAAATTATGAGTCATTCTCCTCCCTGGGTCTATCTCTCAAGCTACTTGTTACTGACCTTCTAGCCCTTGAAGTTTTTATTACAAGCCAAAAATCCACTTGCAAAAAAAGTTTCAGAAGTCTGAGCTCTCAAAAGTTTCTCTCTAGATACTAAATTAAGGCTTGTTTATTCTGAGTAGAAATGTGTTGATGACCTCTAATTAAACTATTCTCTCCTGTAAGAATCAATGCCATGTCTTCAGAGTTGGAATATATAATTTTACAACAGAATGCTTCAGATTAAGATGTTATACTAATGCCCTGGCCGGTGTGAGTCAGTGATTAAAGCGTAGGCTCACGCACTGAAGGGTTGCAGGTTCGATCCCCATTGGGACCCATGCAGGAGGCAACCAATCGATGTGTCTCTCTCACATCTGTCTCTCTCTCTCTCCCCCTCCCTCCATTCTTCCCTTCCACACTCCCTAAAAAATCAATGAGAAAAAATATACCCTCGAGTGAGGATTAACAAACAAACAAAAAGATGTTATACTAATGAACCATCATTACACTTTGTCCTGAAGTTATGCCCCTGTGAAAGTTCTCTTACCTAGGGAGAAAGGAACCAAAGCTTCTTTCTTGGAAAAATATCCACTGCTGTCCAGAAATCGCTCAGGGTAGAATATTTCTGGGTCTCTCCAGTACTTTTCATCGAAGTGTACAGAATAAAGATTTGTAATTACTGTTGTGCCTTTAGGAATAGAGTAACCACGTACAACTGCATCTTCAGAGGTTGCATGGAAAATCCCTAATGGCACTATATTACAGAATCTTAAAACTTCATGCAAAACTGCCTCAGTATAAGGCATTTTGCACTTGTCGTCCCAAGAAGGCTTCCCACTGGGTCCCATAATTAAATCAATCTCTTTCTGAACTTGTCCTGTCAGAGAAAAAAGTGTTCAAGTTATTATACAATGCTCAAAAAGTGTATCTGAAGTAATTTCCCTTTGGGATAAAACAAGGGATAACATATAATAAGTCAACAGGGTATGGGGATGCCCAGATTCAGATTTTTCATTATCCGGGAGTGCTATTTAAATATGTTGTGAAAAACACATTAAGAGTAATAAAAATCAAACCTAGAATTGGAATAACATCTCACTCTCAGCAAGGAAAAGAGTAAAGCATAAAACTTGAATTAAAACAACCAGGGTTGGGGTCCCAGCTCTGCCACTTCCAGTGAATGAACTTGGGCACGTCGGCCACTCAGCCTTTTCCTTCATTTATAAAATAGGCATAACAAATAGGTTTGAAAATTCTTTATAACTATTAAATATTTTTCTTCTTGGCTAATGCCACAGGAGTTCTTAATAAAATGCTTTGTACATGGCCAAAGACTCTAAAACACGTGAGCACTAAATGTAAGTTCAGACCTTGAGATCAAGAGAATCCTCACCTTGAATGTTAGGATAAAGGGCCATGAAAAGAATTGCCCACCGTAGCACGTTGGTTGTAGTTTCTGTCCCAGCAATGATGAGCTCACCCACGGAGAAAATTAGGTTTTCTTTGGAGAAAGTAGATGACGGGTCATTTTTACTCTGATCCATCTCATCTAAATAAGCGTCGACAAAATGCTGAGGTAACTGAGGCTTTCTGTTAAGAGAAGCTTTTTCAATAAGCCTGGAGAGAAAATCGTAGACCACAGCAGCATTTCGGAAGAGCTGCTGATGTTTTCCGAAAGGTAAGATACCAACCCACGGAAAGGCATTATACAGGAAGACGGAGGCGCTGGCAGCCAGCTCCACGTTTTCACTGAACAATTCAATCATGTGCTGGAAATCGGTGTCTTCGTAAGAGAACCGTTCTCCGAAAATGATCAGATTGGTTATGTTTGAAACAGCATTTGTTATTAATTGTTTCAAGTCAAAAGGTCTATCTTTGTATGTCTCAATAGCATCAATGAAAAATTTGGTTTCTTCTAAAATTTTAGATTCAAATGACTTTTGGCCGTATCCAAAGTAGCGAAAGCTGTTCACAGCTAATCTTCTGTGATCAACCCATCCTCGGCCATATTTGGAATTGAGTAAGCCTGAAAAAAAACAAAGGTAAATTTTATCATTCCTGCATTTCTGTATCTAACAGCTAAAAAGGCTATGGAGGGGGGGAAAAAAAGATGGTTAGTCATTCTTCTCCAAATTATCTTTCTATAAAACTAAAACTAGACCCAGTGGAGAAGCCCTGTTTTCTGCTACTCATTAGCCATAGAATATTATAAACATACAAAGCTTGTCTCTTACCATCTGGGGACAGGCAGGAAAGACCTATAATTCTCCCATCACAGGACACTGGACAGTCTTGTGTAATTCAACCTGGGCGAACTAGGCCCAGGCGGCCTTATTACCCACCTTTTACTATAAGCCTAATTTATAAAAGACAAGTGACTGCATATTCTATGGGCAAAATTATATTTTGGACTAAACAAACACCTGAAAAGTATATTGCTAGAATTTAGAACTTTTCTGCTTTAGCAGACTAGATTTTAGAATACAAATTTCCTCCTGTTAAAGGCATATGTTACCTAAGATAATTCTGGCAGAGGCAAGGGTGGCCTGAATGGGGTGTCAATGTACTGAAAATACTCAAGCCAAAAAAAACCAGATTACTATGGCTGAATGTTTGTGTCCCCGCAAAATGCATAAAATGTATCTGACTTTAGCGTTCTATTTTAGACTTTCTGTGCTGCTTTCTCCTCAACAGTTCTGTTAACTTTTAGCCTTTCCCCTTTGTTGAATATGGAATCATCCAACACTGATCAACACTAAACCATAAAAAATCCTAGTCCTTGCCCGAATGGCGTAGCTCAGCAGTTGAGCATCGACCTATGATCCAGGAGATGGAGGTTCGATTCCCAGTCAGGGCACATGCAGGAAGCAGCTCATCAATGACTCTCCCTCATCATTGATGTTTCTATCTCGCTCTCCCTTTCCCTTCTTCTCTCTCTGAAATCAATAAAAGTATATATATTTTAAAAATCCTAGTCCTTTACACAAATACCACAATTCTTCCTTTATATAACATACTGATCAGTGGCTAAGAAAGGCTGCTTCAGCCTCTATAATCTTATAAGCAAAATGATAGTAAAAATGTCACCAAGTACCCAAAACTGGCTTCAAAAGACACTTGATTCCAGTGTGCCTGCACATGTGTGTATTCCTAACTTGTTTCACAAAACTTACATATATTAAGTGCTAATTCTTTAAAGCATTATTTGCAATATTTATTAGAACTGGATTAGAACAGTAGAAGTAGCATGTACTGGTCTAAAATACACAGGTGGGCAAAAGTAGGTTTACAGTTGTTCATATGAAAAATAATACATTAATTAATAAATAATCATACAAGAATAAACTGTGGTTCGAGTACTCACAACTGCAACCTTACTTTTGCCCACCACTGTATTACTGTAATGCAGCCTGGAAGTCCTCAAATACTTGGGTCTGTAGCCTAAATATTAATACTTTCCTGTTAATCAGTATAATAGAATACTAACTCTATGTGCTAAATTTACATAAAATAAGAAATGTGATTTAAAATAGTTCAGTAAATCATTAAATAGGTGAAAATAAACATACCTCCCATTTTTGTCATCTTCATGAATAAAGGCAGGCATGGTCTGTCTGCAAAAATTTCACTTTGATGAACAAGGCATTCCTTTACTACGTCATAGCCATTTAGAACCACAGTTGATATACCTCCGAGATCTAAACTGAAGATCTTTAAGAAGAAGAGAAAAACATTTCAATGGCAAAATATATGGAGAAATATAACCATGGAAATTAACATGTACTAAGCCAGCTCTCGCAGATTTGTTACTTTCCTGAAAACGTAGGCACTTAATATTCACCTGACGTGTGGAGAGCCTTCTCTCTACAAGGCCTGTCAAACACTATGATTTTATTACACATCCAATGCCTGAAGACATAATCTTTCAAACGGTATAATGGAAGGAGTACTGGACTTAGAAGGCCTGGGTTCCAGTGTAAGCTTTGACATTAAACAGATATAGGACCCTATGCAGAACCCTTAACCTTTTTGGGCATGAGGGTTGCCATTGAAAATATGGTACTTGATTTAGATGCTCTTTTAAGATTCATTCCAATTCAAACATTCAGTGATATCTAGGAATTTCCTTTTATTTCCAAGATGAATGGAGAAGCAGTACCATCTACAAATCATTTATTACTCCAGACTTCAGTAGGGAAGGGGACTGTCAAAGCATAAAAGACAAATGTGAAGTATAAACATATTATAACTAGGCCCATTTGTATTTGGGTCCCTGGATTCAATGAAGTTAACAAAGCAGGCCCTAAGGGAATATAAACTTGGAAGAAAGGCAGTTAAAATAACAAAAAATCAAATGAGTAAATTAATCTAATTGGCTTTATTGAATGACTCATGATTGGACACTCCAAAGAGGTGTAGAAAAGAAAACTTGTTCAGTACCAGTTAGGTAATGTGCTGGATAGATTTCTTCGTTCCTCTTGGCAGAGTGACCTTGCCTGAAACCATGCATTCTCTGCTAATAAATTTCCTTTTCTCACCTCCTCTGTCTTTAAAAACCTTTCCTTTTCTACAGTTCTTTAGAGTGGCTCACAGAACTCAGGAAAATATTTACTAGATTACTGCTTTATTATAAAAGGATATAACTCAGGAACAGCCATTTGGAAGAGATGCATAGGGCAAGGTGTGGGGAAAGGGAAGCTTCCACACTCTCTCCAGGCATGCTACCCTCTGCTCACCTCCATGTCACCAACAAGGAAGCTCTGTAATTCCTATAATTCAGGGATTTTTATGGAGGCTTTATTACCTAAGAGTCATCAATTAAATCATTGGCCATTGGTGACTGATTCCACTTCTAGCCCCTCTCCCCTCCTTGGAGGTAAGGGGAGGGGATAGGATTGAAAGTTCCAACCCTCTACTCCTGATTGGTTCTCCTGAATGGTAACAAGCTACCATTCTTTGAGCCTTCCAAAAAATACCTCATTAACATAAACTCAGGTGTGGTTGAAAGGGACTTGTTATGAAGAACAAAAGATGCTTTTATCACTCTTAATACTTAGGAAATTCCAAGGGTTTTAGGAGCAATGTGCCAGAAAACAAAGACCAAAACATATATTTCTTATTACAAATCAGTATCACAGCAGAAACAATAAAAGGACGGCATTAGTGAATGGGCAATGGTCCTGATGCAGAAAAAAAACAGACTGATGATTTCATTGGGATTGAAAACTGTTAATAAGAAGGCAGAACAAATAGGGGAGGCATATTTCAGGATAAAGCTGTCAGGTTGTGAACACTAGGGATTACTAAAACCAAGGAGCCACGCTTGAGGATGTTGTTATACAAGCCACATTTACTCAAAAATTTGAGATATTCATTTTGTTACCAGAACTAGCATCTATTCTGCATATGCTGTTTTCAAGGACTTTTAGTAATTTACTTATTATGTTTACACTGTCCATCTTACCACTTTCCCCCACATCCTCACCTGGCAAGAATGTAAGCTAAACAAGGGCAGGGATTTATTTTTTTTTTAAATAGATATCTTTATTGATTTCAGAGAGAGGGAGAGATAGAAACATCAATGATGAGAGTCATAGATCGGATGCCTCCTGCACACCTGCTACTGGGGATGGAGCTGCAACCCGGGCATGTGCCCTGACCGGAAATCGAACCATGATCTCCTGGATCATAGGTCGATGCTCAACCCCTGAGCCATGCTGGCTGGGTGGAAATGGTAATTCTTGATATACATTTATATTTAAGATTGCCTTTAAAATGAATGTGTAAAACCTGAAGACTGGTTGTTTTTCTTTCAAGAATTATAAAGGAGAACGGAATCCACAGACTTCATAAAAGTAGATGTCACTTGAAGTGACTGTCCGTTCTCATAAGCAATTTTCAAGTCTGGGTTTTTTTCTGTGAGCACACATCTCCTAATTATAAAGCAAGATGGTGCAAAAATAAGATTCCAATTACAAATAAACCTTATAAACAACTTTCTGCTATCTCCCAGAAGTACCAGAGATAAGAGTTTCCCTCTACTTCCTTAAAAGATATAGTATATTATATCTGTATAGTGTATTAACAACTTACACTAACTTTGAGACTTTGTCAGAATTGGGAAACACCTCTAATATAATGGGAGATCTTAATGGGTATTTCACAACTAAGATAAAGATTAAATGCTACTGTAGTTTAAAAAGTTAATGTTAGGTGGTATTTAACTTAAGTCTAAGACAGAGTCAGACAAACGGTATCTACTCTTCAGCGCATACATGTGTCGTTTTTGTTCCTTTTTCCTCTATTCCTCTTGCCTATTAAAAGTTTGATTTTAGCAACTCCAGTAAAGAGCCCTCTTTGTAAAGAACCACAGTGACCCAAATAGCTGTACCAGCAATAAAACTGTTTACTCATGCCAAATTCTTAAATCCATTGAACCAAATCTACCCATCCCAAGGTAAGTTTTCTTGCATGTTTCTAATTTAATTCATACTCTATTATGATAGGAGACTTAGAGGACCACCTTCCAGAAAAGAATGTTCATTGTAAATACAGTATTCCTTTCCATTCAAATCTTTATACATAAAAACATATTCCTATTCTGAAAGGAACCATTTCACAAAATTGGTTTAAAAATACATGAGTCCTGCCCGGCCTGGCGTGGCTCAGCAGTTGAGCGTCAACCTAGGATCCAGGTGATCAGGGTTCGATTCCCGGTCAGGGCACATGCCAGGTTGTGGGCTTAATCCCCAGTCGGGGGCATGCAGGAGGGCACATGCCAGGTTTGGGGCTTGATCCCCAGTCGGGGGTGTGCAGGAGGCAGCCAATCAATGACTCTCTCATCATTGATGTTTCTATCTTTCTATCCCTCTCCTTTCCTCTCTCTGAAATCAATAAAGAGATTAAAAAAAAAAAAAATACGTGAGTCCTGGCCAGTGTGGCTCAGTTGGTTGGGCAAGGCTCTGCACAAAAATGTTGCTGGTTCAGTTCCCTGCAGGACAGAGTACATGCCGTCTTCCGGGTTCCATCCCTAGTAGGGGACCTGCCGGACACAGCCAATGGATGCTTTGCTCTCACCTTGATGTTTGTTTTCTCTGTCCCTCTCTCTCCTTCTCTAAGAATCAATTTTAAAACTTTTAAAAATAATGATAAAAAAATAACTATTGTAGGCCTAATTTTGAATTGTAGGCCTGATAAATTGTTCTGTAATTAATAACCAAGAACGTCTGAGTAGCACTTAACTGTTCTGTTATTATTATTCTCATTATGCACATGAGGAAAAGTTAGAACTCAAAGAAGGTAAAATACATGATGAATGAGGACTCAACCTCTAGTCTCACGCTCTCCCATCTTATGATTCCACTAGAATATCATGATGCTTTATACCAACACAGAAGAGATCAAATACATTAAATGGAAATACACCCAATTCTTGGAGAACTGGAGGGTGTAAATAAAAGCTAAGAATTGTATTATCTGCTTTTCCTCAGCCCAGCTTCCCTTTAGCAATATAAACCATTAGTGAGCTGCAGAAACCCAGAATAATTCTTGTAAAACCTGGTTCAAGGATTTAAGCCTCAACCTGAAACAGCTGCCAAACAGCCCTGCTGTACCGCTCCTTCACAGCACTCGCCACAGTTTGTGGTCCACCCTTAGACAGACTTTCCCCTCACCAGATGCAGCTCCCTGAAGCCCGGCTATTCGCCCCCTTCTCCTCTTCATCCCTAGCACCTGGCAAGAGTCTGGGTGGTTGTTGCACATAAATGAACGGACTCAGAGCCGAACAGGTGAGCTGGGCCAGTGCCAGCGCTGCCACCCGCCCGCCTGCTCCTGAGGCCGGGCGCTCTCCCGACGCAGGCTCGTTCCCGCCCTTTCCCTGCCGGTTAGCAGCCGCGGGGCTGCCTGCGAGTGCCTGGCTGGCTGGGTGCCCTTTCCTCCCCGGTAAAAGGGCGAAGCAGAGGGCCTCCCCCGGGGGCCGTAGCGAGTTTAAAAGAGTCCCTGTTGGAAGGAGGCCGGCCCACAGCAGGCGCAGGCTCGGTTTCGCTAGGAGGATGCTCCTGGCCCGTCAGCAGGACCTCGCTCTCCCTGGGCTGTCGGGCTCCGCACCGATTTTTATTCATTCATTCATTCTTTCACAGCCATTTGCCAGAGCCAGCCTCTCGGCCAGGGCCTCCTGAGCACTCGCTAATCCTCACCGCCAAGGCCTAGAGCAGCCGCCCTCAAACGCAAACGTCCCAGACCCGCCCGTAACCTATTAACTCGGGCCTAGAATTCCGACGCCCGCGGTGCCGGGAGGCCGTGGGGGCACCCTGGGCCGAACTCCGTCTAACCAGGGCGGGCCTGCAGGCCCACTGCGCAGGCGCGGGAGCCCCACCCGGCGGCTCCGGGGGCGGGACGATCCCGCGGG